TCATTTGGATTGCCCTTTTGGATTTGTTTGCTTTTTGTGATTCTTCCTTTTTCCTTGTAATGGAGCCAGCAAGAAAGAGGAAATCCTCCCCTGTCTGGGAGTTTTTTGAAATGGTTGCTCACAATAAGGTATGTGTATTATTATTATTATGATTTCACTGTCTTGATATAATAATAAGGTCCCACTATATATTAAGTGGCTTTAAGTACTATGTACTTACATTGAAAAATAAGTACAATGTACTTATTGTGCTCATGTTGTATTGTAAAACACATTTGCTGCTATTGAGGTGTGATATGGGTAAGGTTAGGGACAGGTGTGGTGGTATGGGTAGGTTTAAGGGTAGGTTTAAGTATAAGGGATGGGTCAGCTGTGTAATTACAGATGTAATTACATAAATTAGTTACAGCTGTAATTACATGCTGGTATTTTTTAAATGTAAGTACAATGTAAAAACATGTACGTACACAATAAGTCCATTGTATCAAATTATTTGTTTCAATGTAAGTACATAGTACTTAAAGCCACTTAATATCAAGTGGGACCAATAATAATAATAATATTCACTATATGTATTATATTTCACATCTATTCATTTATGTTTCTAGGTGAAATGCTTGCTGTGCCTTAAGGAGCTGACTTACAGCAATAACACCTCCTCCATGCTCAGGCATTATCGAGCACTGCATGAGCATGCACAGAGTACTAACAATCCACACAGTAGTCAAAGTAATTAAAATTACGAATAATAATAATAAACATTATTTTAATAATGTTTTACGCTCCTATAATACACCTGCATTTTATTTGATTACAGATTCAAAGAAAGAAATGGTGAATGAGGCCCTGGTGAACATGGTCATCAAGGACTCCCAGCCCTTTTCCATTGTGGATGATGATGGATTTAGGGAGCTCCTGCATGTGTTGGATCCCACTTATGTGATCCCAACTAGAAAGGTATGTAATTAATAAAGTGGTTCATCATTATTTAAGAAGGTAAAAGTAAGAGTAACTGCATTTATGTCTATCCACAGGCTTTGAAGGTCATGGTTGATCTTAAGTACAAGGAGGCTAAGGAGAAGGCCAGAGAGCAGCTGCAGAATGTTCAGGCTATAAGCCTTACCTCTGACATGTGGACATCGCTACACATGGATGCCTACCTAGCAGTAACTTGCCATTTTATAGACAATGACAAGCTCTGCACTATTTTACTAGGTGTGCAGCATTTCCCGAAGAGCCATACTGCTGAGAACTTGGCTACTGGACATGTCAAGCTCATGGAGGAGTGGGGCATAAAGGAGAAAGTTAAGTGCCTGGTAACTGATGCTGCAGCCAACATGATAGCATGTGTACGATCACTAAATGTTAGGCATGCGGTATGCATTGCACATGCACTAAACCTAATTGTGAGGAAATCTTTTGATGACAACAGTAGCTTCAATGACATTCGAACCAAATGTAGGAAACTTGTGACCTATTTCAGAACAAGCACTACAGCAAAAGAGAGACTGGCCCAAGTACAGGAGCAGATGGGGAGACCAGCTCTGAAAATGATAATTAAAGTGGACACTCGCTGGAACAGCACTTACAACATGCTGGAACGTCTGTATCAGCTGAGAGAGCCAGTGGGGGCAGCGCTGGCCTCTCTAAAGACCGACATCATCCCTCCTACAGCCCTGGAGTATGAGGCAATCCAGGATGCTCTACATGTTCTTGCCCCTTTCCTCCAGGCTAAAGTAGAGCTTTCGGGAGAGAAAAGGGTGTCTGCCTCAAAAGTGATTCCTTTGATGAAGATGCTGAACCATTCGGTAACGAGTAAGCTAGAAGGCCTGAAGTCGATTCTAACAAGGCAGCTGGGTGACAGCCTCTGCTTCCACCAATACAAAATACAATACAATACAAAATGCTTCCCCAGCCTCGTCACAAGCAGGCCAATCCACAGACAACAGTAAGTACTATATGTAATTGTTGTGTGAATGTTCACATTAGTGATTAGTACTGTGAAGCATTGTTAATGGACTTTTATTTCATTGTACCTCTATTATTAGGTGACCTTTGGCATCTGCTGGATAGCACGGTTGAACACGGTAGAAGGAGCTCAAGTGCAACAGCAGATGCTACTGCAGAAGTGGACAGATATTTATCTGAGGTTAATGTGACAAGATCTGAGGATCCACTGATATATTGGGCTCAACATAAACATCAGTATCCTCACTTATACCAGCTGGCCCTGACATTTTTATGTTCACCTGCATCCTCTGTTCCATGTGAAAGGATCTTTTCCAAAGCTGGAGAGGTTCTGTCGAAAAAGAGGAATCGCCTAAGCCCCAGCACACTTGAAAAAATTCTGTTCCTCAATAAAAATAATTTTTAATCCTTCCTTCGCTCCTCTACGTCCCCAGTCCCATAAGCACAACACTGCACAAAAATATTAACAGTTCAATGCACTAAATCACCAGAAACAATTTTACCACCCCACACTTTTCTGTTGCCCTTTACTTTATTACACTCCCTCCACCATAAGCACTGCACTAAACAGTGTAACCTTTATTGTTCATACTGTCACTATCCAAACCATTTATGAATAATTAATTAAGTGTGTGTGTGCGTGTGTGTGTGTGTGTGTGATACAGAATTAAATAATTTGTCTGCTATTTCTTTGCACAGTAGCTAGGTGTCACTAGTGAGCAATACTGAATGAAGCTTCGAGTAATGAACCTTTGGGTGAAGCAATGGACTGCGAGGTCTCAGTGGTTCAGGAAGCCTCATTTTGCCATCACTACAGGCAGGGTCAAGAATCAGCAGACAGGACAATGGAGAATACACAGTGGGAATCCAAGAAACAGGCAGAGGTCAGGGCAGGCAGCAATAATCAGAATCCAAGAACAATCCAAAAATCAAAAATCAAAAACCAGAAAACAAACACGGAAAACGGTCAGAAATGCAGACACGCAGTACAACAAGACTTCGCAAACAGTGAATGTGAACACAAGGTATGTATAGACAGACTAACAGGATGAGACACAGGTGAATGCAATCAGTGAATGAGGTACAGGTGAATGTGATCAGTGATGATGAGTCCAGGCAGTGAGTTCTGGAAAATGTAGTTGTGAGTGAAACATGAACATCTAGTGTGGAGTGCCCTCTGGTGACTCTCAAGGGCACTCCACCTGGTGACCGTTACAATCACATTTCTGGCAAAATATGTTCTTGTACAATGTTACAGGGTTATTTTGACATCTGTGGGTTAAAAATTGAACACACACACACACACACACACACACACACACACACACACACATATATATATATAGATATATATAGATATAAATATATACTATGATATAAATTAAATTTATTGGCTTTTCTTACTTACTTAATGTTAAGTCAAAATAATTTGTTTTTGATATGATTTTTAATTTAGACCTTACCATGTGGTAATTAGTACTTACCTTATCCCATTGAATTGCAATGACACTTAAGTGGCAGGGCAAATATACTGTGTAATTAAAACTTTTTTTTTTTTAACAGTACCTTTCTCTGCAATTACAGTGCAAATAGTGTTGTTTCGTATTGCTACATAGTAAGTAGCGCTTGTTACCCCCTTGTTCTGTGTAGTTACAGGGTAAGTGTAACTCCTGCGGGCTGTAAATTAAAGTGGTGTTTGTTACCCCTTTATTACCCAAAACTTAACATATTGTTCCCTTATACCTACATGGAAGTACACTATAATTACTGAAACCTAGGCCTACACCTTAATTTCAGTGTACTTACACAGTTGTTTGCGGGTCGTAAAATAAAGTGTTACCATCACGACTCAACAAATGTTAAAGATCTTTCAACGTTGTATCATTATTTATGTATCAACACAATTTCAACAGTTACAATAATTGATCAGCATTGTTTGGATGTTGGAATTACGTTATTTTTCTACTGATATATTGTAAACAAATGTTTAATAGTCATGGCTCTAATAATAATGTTGATTGGACTTACAACTCAAAATTGGTTGATATTTCTATGTTGAATCAGTAGTGAGTTAACACCTATTCAATGATTTGGTGTTCAACGTTGTTTTGATATTGAATTGAATTGAATAATTGACATTATTTCAACTATAATAATCAACTCAATTATTTTCAACCGATCTGGGGTCTGCCATTAGAATACCACTGGTATATAGAATATAAAGAAATGGGCTATATACACACCCATCTGCAAATTAGAGACAATCTAGAAATGCTGTAACATATGGAAGCATAATGTTTTTTGACCATTTTCTCAAAACATTTCATTATAATTGAGGGTTGCGATGCAGGCCTGTAGTGATTTAACTTAACTCTGATGGATGAGTTTATTAAATCAAAACAAAACACTAGGATCTGGGAATTTATAACATTTTTTTTCATTTATATAGCGCTTTTCTCTGCATTCAAAGCACTTTACATAGAAGTGGAGAATCTCATCAACAACCACCTGGGAAGACACAGGATCACAGAAAACCACACCTTACATTGATGACAACAAACACAATATACAGAATATAAAGAGGGGAAAGAAAAGGCACAGGTTGGACTGATCAATCAACTAATGATAGCAACCAAGGGCACAGGGACTCAACATAGAAAAAATAAACAAATCACAGACAAAATGTGACAGGCTGTGCATCTTCTGTGTTTTATGTAGTTAGAATGGCTCAAATACTTCCTGTAACAGCATCCAAGCAGAGATTAATGCATGGAAGTGATTTCTTTTTTTTTTTCTTTTTTAGTATTTTCAAAATAGGGTGAAGGTTTCTAGTGGAAATTTTGTATACATAAGGAGTCTGACAACAGCTGATATGCTCCACATGGAGATCTGATCTCACCATCATCGAGTTTACAAACTAAATCCAGAAGAACTCCAGGCTTCCACTGGTGGCCTTCTCATAAACAGTTTTTCATTCATTTATTGTGTTTCATATGATATCATAAGCTTATATTTCATAAGCTTATTTTTTATTAAAACTTAAGTGAAATCTTTCCCATTACATTTTTCTTTGTATTTTCTTCAGGCTTGAACAGAATTATATAACATTTTGGTGCAAATATACATAACAGTAAACCAAAGCTTGAGGCTAAAATGGCAAATATCTCCACAGCTACAGTCAATTTTCCAGGAGAACTCACATACGCTGGAATAAATGTGATCCATACAGCACAGAATATGATCATACTGAATGTGATGAACTTGGCTTCATTGAAGTTATCAGGCAGCTTGCGAGCCAGAAAAGCCAGAATGAAGCACAAGACAGCCAGAAGGCCAATATAACCCAGTACAGCAGAGAAACCAAGAGTAGAACCAAGACTGCACTCAAGAATTATCTTTTCCTTATAATATTTCATATTTTTGTAGGGAAATGGAGGAGATAAAGTAACCCAAAGGACACAGATAAGAACCTGTATAAGTGTAAAGGCAAGAACACTGAGTCGTTGTTGTGAAGGCCCAAACCATTTCATGACATTACTTCCTGGAAGTCTAGCCTTGAATGCCATTAGCACCACTATTGTTTTCCCCAGAACACAGGAGATGCAGAGGACGAAAGTGATCCCAAATGCTGTGTGACGCAACATACAGGACAACTCAGTGGGCCGACCAATGAAAGTAAGTGAACAGAGAAAACACAGAGTTAGTGAGAAGAGTAGCAGGAAGCTCAGCTCTGAATTGTTGGCTTTTACTATTGGTGTGTCCTTCTTGCTGTAAAACAGGATGGCCACCAGCACAGTTAATCCTTCTCCGAACAGTGAGAAAAAGACTAGAACTATACCCATAACTTCTGTGAATGACAGAAACTCTACAGTCTTTAACACACATTTATTTTTCTCAGCATTAGACCAGTATTCCCCTGGACACTGCTTGCAGTTATTTGAATCTGGAAAGGAAGTTGTGTTTACTATAGTTAGAGATAAGAAGAAAGTTATTTTTTATTTCTGAACTCCTTTGATAATAAACTGAATCCTGAAGAGTAGAAGAAGAACACAAAAATAGCAACTAACTAATTTTTTTTGAAAGTCCGAGATGTGCTGAAGATTACCTGTCTCATTACTGATTTCCCCTTCTGCACATGGAATACAGTCATAACAGCAGACAGGTCTTCCTTTTTGTGCAGCCTTCCTAGTGCCAGGAGGGCAGCTCTCACTGCACACAGACCTTGGCTTCTGCGTTAAAAAGTACAGTTTCAATGCCAGTTAATGTTCTAAATAATGTCCTTGATTTTTTTTTTTTTTGTCATGCCACATTAGCTACTTTCAATCCAACATGTTACTATTTACCTCCAACTGTCCTCCAGCCCAGATTATATTTTTAATGTTAACCACAAAGCGCTGTTCAGGGTGCAATGATGCATCATAGTATCCCACTGGTTTAAATTGGATTGATCCATCTGAGTCCTGCTGCCAGTTCACAACTTCATATTGGGCTACCGTGGCACCAGTGTTGTCAAACCAAACACGATCTCCAAACTTTACTGAGAAATTGACCTTTTTCAGAGCTTCAACCACCTAATAAATATACATGAAAATGTAGGTGTTTTAACACATTGTCAAACTGAAATAGGTTTACCCTCTTTCTAGCCAAATCTTTTTTTCTTTTTTTTTACCTGCTGTGGTTGTATTGTCAGATTTTTCTCACAACCTTCTTGTTCTTTGCACTTGAGTAGATTGTGCAGTGAATGAGCTACAGCATAAACTGCTTTGTAGACATTGCTTGCATATCTTTGCTCAGGCACATCTTCATTGTAATTTTTCAGAACAAGTAGATCCTTATATCTGCTGCAATTTAAATTATCTTGAGGGGAATTACCCCCAGTCTGTGAGCATGGAAAAGCTGTGTCCCAGAATGCTTTTATAACATAATCTGAAAACCCTTCAGTGTTGACCTTTCTCACTGCAAACCCCAGTGATCCTCCCAGAACACGAAAACTATTTGGAGTGATCAAACTTTTTGCAGTTGTCCATGCTTCCACGCCAATTACTTGTAGGCCTGTAATGTTCTGAATACTTAGCTGCTCAAGTAGATTAACCATCTCAACACGGGAAAGAAATGCAACAACCACTTTTGTGGTGCTTCTTTTCATAGTGTCTACCACTCTCTGGAGTTTTTCTGGCTCTGTTCGATAGAATTTCACAGAGTACTCCACACAAATCCCCCCTTCCTGGGCTGTTTTAAGAAATATGGCCATTCCATTGTTTCCATAATCGTTGTCACTGTTCACAGCTCCCACCCAAGTCCAGCCAAAGTATTTGACTATGTATACAAGTGCTCTGCTCTGGTGGTAATCACTAGCAATAGTCCTGAAAAATGAAGGGTGATCTTTCCTATTGCTTAGACATTCACATGTGGCTGAGTGACTTATCTAGAGAAAAAAAAGGAGAGGGAACATTGAAACTGTCATCAGTATGGTAATTATGTCAAGCATTTAATGTTTTTGATCCTTACCACTGGGATTTTAAATGGTCCTGTAGTTCTGGACAGAATCACTGTGGCAGAAGACTCAGTTTCTCCTATAATAGCATGTATAGGAGACTGTCCATGGCATCTGTCCCCTCCTGCAAACTCATGACCATTCATCAGTGCCATAGTTGCACTCATAGAAGATAGTCTTGAACCACAGCTATCATAGATTTTGTAACCAATGGAAACATTTGGGAGCAAACTTTTACTTCTGTTTATCTCCTCAATGGCAAAGATCATGATTTGAGCCATCCGGAAATCTCTCAAATTCACACTGCCATAATATTCCAGATTTTATGGTAATTTGTGGTTATAAATTCAAAATATATTTTATAATCTGCAATATATTTTAATAAAAATCTACTGATATTGAACACTTTATCTTCTATAATATTCCTCAAATAGTATACAATGTTACAAACCTGGAGCATGATAGAAGCTGGGGCTTTTGTATAAAATCAAACGAAGGCAATATTTCTATGCTGCGGATTGAAAAAAGTCCTCCAATAGTTACGTCTCCATTCTTGAAAAGCAGTGGATACTTAGGGTCTCCCATTTTTTGACAAAGAGGGTTTTCAGCCTTTATATAAGGTTTATGACAAATCAGGAGTGCAAAAAGAAAGACAAGCATCCTTGAGATTGAACTGCGATTCCACTGAGACTGACAAATGTGAATTACCTGATACAGTCTATGCACTTTATAAACATAATTAATATGGATGAATGATTTTGAGTGCAACCAATGACCTCACAGGGCAGAACAGGAGTCGGTTGAAGTACAGTAGGAATTCTGCTAATTTGATGGTCTGATGTAACATTTTTTTTTTTTTCAATATTAAGATCTTAGGTTAAATTTTATATACACAATGGCCCTCATTTATGAATATCAGAAAACTGAGTATACTACCGTTTCCACGCACATCTTGGCTTTTATCAATTTGAACGTGAGTGTTGACTATGATCAAATCTCACATCAGGTCTCAACTCGTGTACGCAAGTTTTTGAGTTAGCGTGAACTTGCGTGCAGCATAGTATATTTGGTGGAAAATTGTAATGAGACCATTTTGCTAAATAAGATTATTTTCCTGGCTGAGTCTGACAAAAAACTTATTAATCAATGTAGAATGTGTAACTTAAAAATAAACAGATTAGTGCTCTGTTTGAGGACAATCCTGTGCAGGCACGTGCACAGGTAGGGAGCAGAGCAGAGCACATGCCCTTTTTCTCCTTACAATGCGAAGTGCCCTTTTTTTTATTTTTTATTTTTTATTAATCAATGTTATTGGTCACCCTTTACATCTGTCTGTCTGTTTTACAAATATTTAGCCAATGAAAGTTCTTAAAAAGAGCTTGTGCAAATCTTGTTCAGTCCTCAAACTGTCAGTAAGCCTGATAACTCCGCCCCTTTTACTATATTCAGTGAATCAACTGAAGCTCTGCAGCGGCCGGACATCAGACAGCAGCTGCTGAATGAAGTTTTGCGAAGGGTAAATAAAGATCTTGTTGTTTGAATAAGTACTAAATACTTTGTCCATAGAAGCTCATATTTTATTTATTTGATGTCTGACTGACATGTGGGACTGGGAGTTGGACCTGTCGGACCTGAGAAAGAGGTATAGGCTAGCAGCATTTGCCATCTAGTCATGGCCAATACATAGTCATATAGCCTACACTTAGTTAGCCTGTGCATACAGTAGAATCTTTTATAAAATGCGATTTTGGCAAAATGTATTTTGCAACAGGAAAAACTGACTGCCTGTTTCGTACTGGAAATTACACAAAGCGACGAGTGATCCTCGTCACCTAGGTAAAATTTGTTCTTTGATTTATGATTGCTGATGCACTTAATTTATTAACATTTAGTTATGTTATGGTAATAATATTAAATTATGGTTAATTCAAGGCTGTTAATATGCACATATTCACTAGCTAATTTTTCGCCATACTCGTCCTCACATGTATACATGTAGTAAAGTAAAACATGGTTTTACTACAGTAATGAAGACTAGTAGTAGTAACTAAAAAAAAACAATACAGAAGATCACTGTGAAATCTTTAATATTTTATCATGCAGAATGTAATTCATGATTTAATTCATTCCAAGGCTTAATTTGTTTGATCCAAAATACAGCAAAAACAGTAATATTGTGAAATATTTTTACAATTTAAAATAACTGTTTTCTATTTGGATATATTTTACAGTTTTTCTCAAATGCAAAAACACATTTCACAAATGTTTCGTCCATGTTCTCCAATGTCTAAACACAACACCCTTTTCTAAAGTTACATAAACACAACCACACCTTCTCCCTTCAAAACTCAAACTTTCACACCAAAAGAGCAGCTCGAAGCATTCAAAAATGTAAACACTATACACATCATTACACACCACAGCAAAACAATTGAAAACACAATTCTCAATTTGTGAGAAGGTTCGTTGTTTCATAACTGCCAATGCATATTTTTAGAAACTTTACAGTAATGGATCTTCTTAGATCTCTGCAGAGGATTAGGCATTTAGATTTGTGAGTTTCATGTGAAGAGTATAACTCTATAGTAAATTCTGTACACTACTGTAACACAACAAAAACGTCTCGGTTACGGATGTAACCCTCGTTCCCTGAGTAGGGAACGGAGACGTTACGTCGGAATGACGGAGAATGGGGGTTTCGCATAGAAAGCCAATCCTCTTCGAGTATTTAATAACGAGCCAATGGCATGAAAATGCCTTGGGGCTGCGGAATTTGCATAGCGTAACTCCGCCCCACCCCGTGGGTATAAAAGGAGGAAGTGAACGCAACCGCAGTATGTCTTCGCTGAGGAGCCGAGACTGAACTCAGGCGTCTACCCAGCGGTACAGCAGAAGTGGCAAGGAGACATAATGTCTCCGTTCCCTACTCAGGGAACGAGGGTTACATCCGTAACCGAGACGTTCCCTTTCGTAGTCACTCCGACTTACGTCGGACACATAGACAGGCCACGCTGAGCCGCACAGAGACGAGGCTGCGCTGAGCCCCACAGAGACTAGGCCACGCTGAGCCCCACAGAGACAAGGCCGCGCTGAGCCCCACATAGACTAGGCCGCGCTGAGCCCCACTGAGACGAGGCTGCGCTGAACCACCTAAAGGCGAGGCCACGCTGAGCCACTGACAAGGCCACGCTGAGCCACATAAAAACGAGGCCACGCTGAGCCCCACAGAGACAAGGCCGCGCTGAGCCCCACATAGACTAGGCTGCGCTGAGCCCCACATAGACTAGGCCGCGCTGAGCCCCACTGAGACGAGGCCGCGCTGAGCCCCACTGAGACGAGGCCGCGCTGAGCCACATAAAGGCGAGGCCACACTGAGGTATATAAAGACGAGGCCATGCTGAGCCACATAGACGAGGCCACGCTGAGCCACATAGACGAGGCCACGCTGAGCCACATAGACTGGCCACGCTGAGCCACATAGACAGGCCACACTGAGCCACATAGACAGGCCACGCTGAGCCGCACAGAGACGAGGCTGCGCTGAGCCCCACAGAGACTAGGCCACGCTGAGCCCCACAGAGACAAGGCCGCGCTGAGCCCCACATAGACTAGGCCGCGCTGAGCCCCACTGAGACTAGGCTGCGCTGAGCCACCTAAAGGCGAGGCCACGCTGAGCCACAGACAAGGCCACGCTGAGCCACATAAAAACGAGGCCACGCTGAGCCCCACAGAGACAAGGCCGCGCTGAGCCCCACATAGACTAGGCTGCGCTGAGCCCCACATAGACTAGGCCGCGCTGAGCCCCACTGAGACGAGGCCGCGCTGAGCCACATAAAGGCGAGGCCACACTGAGGTATATAAAGACGAGGCCATGCTGAGCCACATAGACGAGGCCACGCTGAGCCACATAGACGAGGCCACGCTGAGCCACATAGACTGGCCACGCTGAGCCACATAGACAGGCCACACTGAGCCACATAGACAGGCCACGCTGAGCCGCACAGAGACGAGGCTGCGCTGAGCCCCACAGAGACTAGGCCACGCTGAGCCCCACAGAGACAAGGCCGCGCTGAGCCCCACATAGACTAGGCCGCGCTGAGCCCCACTGAGACGAGGCCACGCTGAGCCCCACTGAAACGAGGCTGCGCTGAGCCACCTAAAGGCGAGGCCATGCTGAGCCACAGACAAGGCCACGCTGAGCCACATAAAAACGAGGCCATACTGAGCCCCACAGAGACAAGGGCGCGCTGAGCCCCACATAGACTAGGCTGTGCTGAGCCCCACTGAGACGAGGCCGCGCTGAGCCCCACTGAGACGAGGCTGCGCTGAGCCCCACAGGGACTAGGCCACGCTGAGCCCGACAGAGACAAGGCCGCGCTGAGCCCCACATAGACTAGGCCGCGCTGAGCCCCACTGAGACGAGGCTGCGCTGAGCCACCTAAAGGCGAGGCCACGCTGAGCCACAGACAAGGCCACGCTGAGCCACATAAAAACGAGGCCACGCTGAGCCCCACAGAGACAAGGCCGCGCTGAGCCCCACATAGACTAGGCTGCGCTGAGCCCCACTGAGACGAGGCCGTGCTGAGCCCCACTGAGACGAGGCCGCGCTGAGCCCCACTGAGACGAGGCCGCGCTGAGCCACATAAAGGCGAGGCCACACTGAGGTACATAAAGACGAGGCCACGCTGAGCCACATAGACGAGGCCACGCTGAGCCACATAGACGAGGCCACGCTGAGCCACATAGACTGGCCACGCTGAGCCACATAGACAGGCCACACTGAGCCACATAGACAGGCCACGCTGAGCCGCACAGAGACGAGGCTGCGCTGAGCCCCACAGAGACTAGGCCACGCTGAGCCCCACAGAGACAAGGCCGCGCTGAGCCCCACATAGACTAGGCCGCGCTGAGCCCCACTGAGACGAGGCCGCGCTGAGCCCCACTGAGACGAGGCTGCGCTGAGCCACCTAAAGGCGAGGCCACGCTGAGCCACAGACAAGGCCACATAAAAACGAGGCCATGCTGAGCCCCACAGAGACAAGGCCGCGCTGAGCCCCACATAGACTAGGCTGCGCTGAGCCCCACTGAGACGAGGCCGCGCTGAGCCCCACTGAGACGAGGCCGCGCTGAGCCACATAAAGGCGAGGCCACACTGAGGTACATAAAGACGAGGCCAAGCTGAGCCACAGACAAGGCCACGCTGAGCCACATAAAAACAAGGCCACGCTGAGCCCCACAGAGACAAGGCCGCGCTGAGCCCCACATAGACTAGGCTGCGCTGAGCCCCACTGAGACGAGGCCGCGCTGAGCCCCACTGAGACGAGGCCGCGCTGAGCCACATAAAGGCGAGGCCACACTGAGGTACAGCAGGCCACGCTGAGCCACATAGACGAGGCCACGCTGAGCCACATAGACGAGGCCACGCTGAGCCACATAGACTGGCCACGCTGAGCCACATAGACAGGCCACACTGAGCCACATAGACAGGCCACGCTGAGCCGCACAGAGACGAGGCTGCGCTGAGCCCCACAGAGACTAGGCCACGCTGAGCCCCACAGAGACAAGGCCGCGCTGAGCCCCACATAGACTAGGCCGCTCTGAGCCCCACTGAGACGAGGCCGCGCTGAGCCCCACTGAGACGAGGCTGCGCTGAGCCACCT